AAATTAGGGACAGCTAGCACAGATAGCCCTCGTGTAGCTTTGCGCGAAATTCAAAACAAACAAACTTTTTAGCTTTATAAATATTACAAGCTATCTACTTAAAGTATTAAGTATTTGTACTTAATGCATACATGGTTTAATCTTCTGCTAAATATAATAATTCTGTAATGTAAATCCTGATATTTTTGTCTGTGTTCTCTTTCTAATAAATTGTACATTTTTACACAAATCATTGACCAAATATCATAGTAATGATCACTATTACTGTTTTAAAGGGTTGATATGGCTTATTTTAAGCTTGAATGGGTGGCAGAATTCTTAATGAGAAAAGAATAAATAAAAATTTTGAATCTTTTAAACTTTATAATTTTCATATGTTAATAGAAATTAAATGTTTTAATTTTCTGTCTCATTCTCTTTAGTTCGAGTGAAGAGAGTTGGAGCACAATAAGGAAGTTTAATTCAATGGTGTTTACAACACCAAGTTGCTGACAATTCACCGAATCCCCTTACTTTCAAAATTCAGCATCACCAATGATTGTCTTTGCTGTATCTTTGGGTTTCTTATGTTTAACATATGTCAGGTTTTCACACACTTAAATGTATGCTTTTAGCTTTGATACAGATCAATGATTCATATTTGATAATGTTCTAACTTTTATTATTATGTAGTCATAGTGTAATTTTAAATCTATTATTATTATGACATAGACGGTAATGCACTTAATAGTGACACAAAGATAATAAAACCAAGTTATTGCTCATGTAAGTTTTTATTAAAAGTAAAAAAGGATTTTTTGTAAGTTGAAATGCTCACTCTAAAAAAAATATATTTTTGGATTTCAATTGTACAGTAATATTTGATTTAAGAAAAAGTCACTTTTAAGTATAACGAGTATCTGTCTCATACAAAGACTAGTATCAGTAGGACAGTTTTTACTATACATTTTTAACAAAAGTTTAAAAATGTAGCACAGCAGACTAAATGGAGATTTTGTGCACCATATGTTTATTAAAAGTATTAATGGACAAGAAACTATAGTATAAATTTATAATATTACCATAAGTATACAAGCCTTACAGTAGAGAAAACCTAGTGACAAAACTTTGTGTTTCAATTTGTGTGCAAGCGTTACTCTCTTGAACATGTGTGTGGTATTGTACTTCGTGTCATGGATAGCTGTCTACATTGTGAGTATAATATAATGAGAGAGAGATGTAATAATAGGTTATGTATTTCTTGGTGTATAATGAGTGTTAAGTTTGCTTCACTATTAATAATAAAATATTCGTATCTTGTGCTATCGTTAACATTTTTAAATGTGTAACACACACAAAGAAATCTGTACGTTTTAAGTTTTGTAAAGGATTTTTGTAGGAAACTGAAAAGAAATTTAATAAGTTAGCTATTTAAATAGCTTTAATTACATTATTTAAAATTTTACATTGTATGTTTTTTTTTTGAAGTGAATATTAAGAATAAGACTCGAATATGCAGTGGTTGTGTTCGCTTTTTTGTCCATCCATTCCAAAATGCATGTGCCAAAAATTTGCATCATCTGTCTTTCTGGAGTTGTTTTAAAGTACTTAAATACCATCTGTTTGGAATTAATAGAATCTTGTCATTCTGCCAATGGGAATACTTTCATCATGTAAACATGACTACACATGTATCTATGACTTTTTTGGATTGAATGTTGCCCAGAACAAATTTTTAGACAAGAAGAAACTCATACATGTGCAATTTTTGATAATTTTGTTGCAATTTTACCCAAGGGGTGTTGAGTATGTTGTTCACTGATTTTAAGAAATGCGAATGTTGTGCTTTGCACACGTGCACTCTCACTTTGATCATGAATATTCATCATTGTTACAAATAAATATAGGACCTGACTAGATTATATTCAAAGCTGATAATAATTTATGTAACTCACCAGAACAAAAATGAATTTCTGATTAGAATTTAAAACTGACTTGTGTCAAGTTTGATTTATAACTTAGTGGAAGGAGTTTTCAATAAAATATTTTTCATCACTTAATACTTAGGATTATTTCTTGATTTGAATTCAGATTTAAATAAAAAGTAAATATTGAGTGATGAGGTTTGGATTGTATCAGTGGTAGAACTTGATTTGTAATCAAAGTTAAAAAAAAAGTCTTGAAACCCAATTACAATGTATCACCTTGAATTTTTATTTTAGTCATACCTAATCACTAAGAAATGTTAAAAGTTAAAAAGCAAAAAATGAATAAAAAAATGCAAAATTTAAACACTTTAACATTAAATACAATGGGAAATATACTCAGTGTTATTAAGCAGAACAGTGTCTCAACAAAACTTTTGGACATTTCACATCATAAAATACTGATGAAAAAAAACTATTATGTAGAAATTATGTAGATTTCTAAGACAAAATTATATATTATTTAAGTGTAGTAAGTTGACGTTTAAGTTTCATGCAACTTGGTAAAATATTTTCAATCTTGCACTTCTTTTCAGCTTTTTGTCCAGTTCATTTATTTTGCAAATTTTTTGTATTAACACAACCACTATGTATGATAGTGAGTGAAAAACATAACAGGTACAGCGGTGTCAAACAGGGATGTTACAAGTATGATATGCTGTTCAAAAATTTATAACAATCATAAAAAAAAAATCCCACTTTAAAACTTGTTTGGAATTTTTTAGTTATATGACCTTGGATATCAGTTGGTTTTGTTACTGTCAAAAAATCAACTATTAAATAAAAAAAAGTGGAAGTAAAGGCACTGTATTACATCTTTCCGGAAAGTTTGTGGACAGTATTGTGTTATGTTAGTGTAATACTTTATTTTAATGTTTTATTTGAGTTATAGTGAGTTAGCAAACTTATTGTTTATAGTCACATTATATTAGTTCTATAATGTTGAAAACTGTGCAATGAGCATGGATTGTGTTTATATGTTTTATAGATGACTTTTACTTGCAATTCTACAATAAGTTGCATTTCAAATTGTGCCTCTTATCGTGTTGTACAGTACAAATATATATGTTGTTCTTGTTTTTTTCTTTACTTTTAGCACATTGTATGTCTCAAAGGGCTATTAAAAACTATTTTCTGTGCAGGAATTATTTGTTGCATTAAAGTATTACTACAACCAGTGGGTTGGTAAAAAAAAAAAGTCATTCTTTTAAATTATAAAACATACTTTTATAATTATTTGAATTTTGAAATAAATAGTGTGCAAGGAATTTTTAAGCAGAACACTAGACAATATCTGTTCCGTACAATGAAATTCATGTACAAGTGATGTACAGTAATGTGGTTTAATCTAGAATTTGAAATTTAAGATTTTATTGTTGAGCAATAAAAATCATGTTTTTATAATTATCTAGCAAAGCAAAACAAATTCAATAAAAGATACTTAAATTTTTATCATTTTAAACTTATATTTATTATAAGTTTTAGTAGAGCTTTAATGATATAACTTGTATTTTTAATTGCAACAAAAGAAATTGCACTGAGTTATCTACCTGCTTATGATATGATAATAAATTATACGAGACTTGAAAAAAATACCTGTATGATATTTGATGATTTCTAAAAAAGTTACACACTGAAATTTTTTCAATAGTTATTACTTTTTTTAGTATTTTAATATATTTTGTGAAATCATGAAAGTTTTTATGTACTATATAAACTAATGTAATGTAATTATTTAGTGTAAGCATGTTTGGGGGTGTTGCTATACCATAGTATTTTCTGAACGTTTTGATTTATGTTAAGTAATAGACGGAAGAAGTCTCCGTGTGTTCAATGCAGTTACAAGAATGAAGTAAAAAGTTTCTTGTGGTGCACCAAAAGATTTGTTACATTTATGATTTTTTTTAAATGTTGTTTTAGCCTTTATTTGATTCCTATAATGTTTTGTTGTATTTTTTACATGACAGAGCTATTGTATTGTAATTGTCAGAGTTATTTCTCTAGCTCGGAGATTTAAAAAAATTAAACCAGTGAGGATTAAGCCTTTTTTTAAATACAGTACAAAATGCTATATCTGAAATATTTATCCTGAAAGTCTGAAAAAAATGTGAAGTCAGCTACAGCCGATTAAATGTATTGTTCATTCTTATAAGTGCATTTCTGATTTGTTAATATAAACTTAGCAGATGCTGATACTTCCCGAGTGGAAGAAATAGTCCTAAAGTTTCATCATCTCACAATGTATTCTTCATTCTAGTTTTATGTTAATCATTACTCGTTGCTTTTAAGTATAGTTTAGAACTTCTCAAATTAAAAAAAAATTTGTGTTATTGTGAAATACTACATTCTAGAATAGTTATTTGTTCCGAGTAAAATTACATGAGATTTTATATTTGGATATTTGTTTAAGGCCTTAAATAAAGTCTACCCCTTTATCTATATCTTTATAAGCAATCTGCTTTCTGTTCTGTTAAGACATGTATGAAATAGATTTCAAAACTATATTTTTTTTTGTCAAGAATCTTAACATTTCATTCATGTGAGATTGCATCTTGTTTTGGTTACTCATAATTTATGTTTGGTGGATTGATCAGTCACACCATCATGTGGTTAGGTGTGGCATTAACCACAGTAACACATTGTAATATTGTTCAGACACAGTGTGTATAATAGTTAGATGTAGTTGTAACCAAGTCATAACATTGTTCAGACTCATCACTGTGAGTATAATGGGTTAGATTGGCTGTAACCAAATCAACTAAAGCTAGAAGCAAATCCAAAAACACTGTATATATGTAACTCTCATTAATCATATAGCTAAGCTTTTCTATTTAAATAAACATGTTAAAAAAAACATTTGAGCTTAAAGAAAATTGTTTTCCCTTCTAAAACTTAATATAGGCAATTATTAACTAAGTATTCCAATAAATTGAAAAGGTAGAGAAAAAAAGAGAGATTGAGTAAATGGACTATAGCTGTGTAGCCACCTTGTCCAGTTGTAAAACTAATAAAATAATCCACCTTCTTGAAGAGACTTGTTAAAATACCTCTTCCCAGATAACATTGTAAAAACCTAACAGTTGAGTGTGACCTTCCATAGAACAATATCTTAACAGCATTTGTAATGCAGGGTCTTGAAGCCAGGACATAAACTGGCTAAGATCCTGACGATATTTTACCAAAGAAAAAGAGGTATCCAAAAAAACTGGTGAAATCCTGCAACTCCTTTACGAACAAGTTGGCCATGACTTTGCAAGTTCATCATAATGCATTCTGTTGACAGAAAAAAAAAAATCATTGCATATGGTTTAGATAAAAGCACTCCCTCCATGATAGTTTCAATAGAGATTGTTAACATCTACTTTGTTTCTATGACTTCTTGGAGTTGAATTAAACGGGTCTTTGTGTATATTGTCTGGATAAAATGGGGAAGTATTTTTCCTTAAATGTTTTACTACATAACCTTGCATATTTTTAGTTAGAATTTTCATCTTGAATACCATGTGCACTAACTTGTGTTTGTCTTGTGTGTACTGGTGTCTGAAAAGTATGCAGAATGGGGTGAAGCGTGGGTTCATTGTAGAAGCAAAGGAACATTCTAGATTCGACTACTCATGTCATAACTAGACCGCATGAACTCTTTAACTTTGCATTTTCAAAATTTAAATTTTCAATGGTTTTTACAGAGTACGAAGAGGTTTAATATAAATTGTTTTCATGTAGAACACAATTTTAACAATTTCACTGCTGTAAGGAAGTAACTTAGTTAAAATTATTCTCACTATATAGGTTGTTTGCATTTTTTTGAAGTTCAGTCTGGTAATGATATAACTTATAATTAATTTTTTAGGGGAATGTAAAGGGCTGTACCCAGGTATGCATAGGGTTAATAAAAAACAAAAAAGAAGCATGCACAGACACAGCCTTGATTTTTGCTTCTAAATTTGCCATTCAAAAAATATGAAATTAAACATTGGACTCTTGTTCACTTAAAATTATGAAAAGTTAAACTGTCACATCTCTTAATAATCAGTGCTTGTTACATAAGTTACTACTTTTTCTCTGTTTAAAGCAATCTACAAGACACCAACTTGTATCAATATATTAATGTGCTGCATTAATAGTAAATGCACTACAATTGCCTTTCAAAATTTATTGCTGAGTGAGTCTTCACATAAGTCATGTTGCAAAGTTGCTCAAACTATGAATACACAATAACAGGAGGCTTTCCAGGAAATGTTTTACTTGGCAAAATCTAAATTTTCCTAACCTCAGTTGAGTTAGAAGCAAAGAAACAGACTGGATACAACATACTACACAGTGAAATGGTCTTCATTTAAACACAGTCTAAGACAAAAACAAGTGTATTGTGTGATGCCTTTACTGGAAAGATCTTAGTGTTTTACAACAAATCTGTCTGCAGTGATCTCAAATCATCTTGCACCAGACTAAGAAAGCACAGCATCATGTAATAATAGAACTATGTCCTTCTTTTCAGGGTGTAGGTGCTACTAATGGCTATTCACAATACAAGATAAGAGATGTTGTATCCTCTTGCCACCCCCCACACCCATGATGGAGTTGGTTCCTATGTCATATGTAAACAGGCAGTCCATTGTAAAAAAGTCCTCTGTAAATGACTAAAATCCCACTTTCGAAAGAAAGGGCTTTTAGTATAGGTGGTTTGGTTGTTGTTAAGCACAAAGCTATACAATAGGCTATCTGTGCTCTTTCTTCCATAGGTGTGGGAACTCTTGCCACTGAGAGGCTAATATAGGTGGAATTGACACCGGCAAAATGGGTAAAGACTTTGATAAGGGTAGTAAATACACACACTGTTAACCTGGACTTTATTTAAAGCAATAAAACAAACGGTTTTCATAAATATTTCTTGATGAAGGTGTCACAAACTTCTTTTGGAAAGTATTTTAAGACAGAAGAGGTTCTCTAACAAATAAAGATTGGAAAGTGGTTACTAATCTCCTCTATCAAGTAAAAATCTCCAATAACCTATGCTAAGAAAATGAGATTAGCAATCCATTTAGCATAAATGTGATCCCAACAGAGATGTTTACAAGGCTATCAAGAAGATAAATACAGATTTTGCACAGCTTAGGTACAAAAGCATGTATATGATGCGAAATTTCCCCAATTAATACAGTGATATTTCCATAGAAGTAGTTTATTGTATGGTCCTTGCGAGGAACTTTTTCTTCGAGAATAAAATTATTTCAAACATCTGGGAATATGTTCTTGGTGAGACACTCTCCATTATAATAGAAAATGGATTTTTGAGCAAATTTTCTAGCTTTCTTGTAAGATAAACTCCAACAATTCAACACTCTCTATCTCGACTGTCAATTTACAAGGGCTTGAATGCGCTTAATGAAAAAATGCATAGGTTGCTCTTTGTAACGGATGATTAATGAAAACTACAGAAGTGTAGATTTTGTGCAATCTTAATATCCCATATCGATTTTCCGTATTATTGTTTTAAAAACGAATCTATTCAATTTAAGGAAGTAGAGACGGGTTTAATTTCAAAGGTAAACAGACAATGACTATGAAGTCTATATCAGAAAACAAAGACACTTTCATAATATTACCAACAGGATATGGGAAGATGAAAATTTACGTTTGTTTTCGCTCCAAATGAATTGAGGCTATTTGTTATAATTTTCACGCTCTGTGCTTTCAGGCCTTAATGTAGCAATCGGAATATAATAACTGAATTATGTGGCTTACTGTAAGACACAATTCTCGTTTAAGAAGTTGCGGGTTACAAATAACTTTTAAAAACCTAAACCTCATTGTATCATCTGCACACGCATCTCTCCACAACTGATACATATAGAATAAGAATCAATACAATGTCTCTGGAAAATGAGCCACGAAAAAAAATTCATTATTACATCTAGGTGTATATGTACAGAAGGTTAAGCACTTTATCAAAAATCAGCAAGTCATGTGCCCCCCAGTGGTACAGCGGTATGTCTGCGGACTTACAATGCTAGAATCCAGGTTTTGATACCCTTGGTGGGAAGAGCACAGATAGTCCAATGTGTAGCTTTGTGCGTAATTACAAACAAACAAGCAAGTCATGTGACAACTACAGCTGATATTAAATTGCGGTAAAATGGTATGTATCAGAAATATATATATATATATTTTTATTTGATATTCATATAATATTCTTTTTGTTTCTTTGTATGAAGTTAAGCACAAAGCTACACAATGAGCTATCTGTGCTCTGCCCACCACGGGTATCGAAACCCGGTTTCTAGCGTTGTAAGTCCGCAGACATACCGCTGTGCCACTGGGGGGGGGGGGCATATATAATATATAGATAGTATGGTGCCACCGAATTTGGTTACTTTTGGGAAGAATGTGTTAAAGCCATTTTCAGTGCTAAACATTCATATACTCGGATCATCAAGATATATTCATATTGGATATTTTGAATTTCCAAGGCTGGGATGTCCCTTGTATTTAATAGCATTGAAAGAAGGAATGTGGATCAAGTTGAGGCACCAGGACTATCCAGGAAAAGACCTGCGACAAATTGTACCCCAGCCACAGTAAGTGATATGTGGTGTCTTTTAAGTCAAAAACTATCCATGTGCCCCAGGCAAAAGTGTCCAATATAATCAAGAAGGATCTCTGTCTTGAAAAGCAACATAAGTCAAGTTTTGACAAACTGCTTCTACAACATATTAGTTCAAATGTCACATATCTCAAGCAGCTGGAAAATAAAATGGGTATTCATACCATTCGATATTAAGACATACTAGTCAAGTCACTAAGCGCAGCACTTGTGGATTTGTATATGATATCATTGTTAAAACAAGCACTGAGAAACAATCATCCTCATAAACTAGATTGCTTATGGAAACCACGGAGGGAAGAGAGGTGTACTTTAATATGACAGTCTTATGACAGAAACATTTGCAATAAAAACTATGCTGCGGGGTTATTTGCAAGATGTACGGTCATCAAATACAACATTACTGGACTTGGCAACATGGACTGTAATGACGTGGCGAGGCTCCAAAATCATTTTAAAATAATGTACTCAGTCTCTGTATAAACTATTGTTACGTCTCCGTTCGTTAGTTAATTTTCCGTAAATTCGTTCCGACGAAACTTTAGCGACACAAGTCCTTTCTTAAATAAAACTGGTTTATTCTTTCTGAATATAACTTTGCGATACACTTAATTTCAAAAGTCGCACTATAAGAAACGTCTCACGTGCTCGACTTCAACAATACTCAGTTCAATTACCTCTGACTGCAGTTCAATTACTCATTACACTGTTGTCCCGTCACGTTGTGAACGTCTTTAATATACCAGTCTACCCCCAATCTAGTAGTCTCCCGACAATTCACGAAGGAACAGGATATTTCTAGAAGGAGGTGGCGTGATACTAGTCACGTGACCTCGCTGACGCAACACTATTTAAACCAAAATAAAGGGAAAAATTTGAATTGTCACCGATAAAATATAAATTTGTTGTTAAGCTCAAATATACACAATGAGTTATTTGTGCTCTGCCTACCACGCGTATCGATAATCAATTTTTAATGTTATATTGCTTGTTTGTTGATTTTTGCACAAAGTTATTGGAAGACTATCTGTGTTAGTCGTTTCTAATTTCGAAGTGATATATTAGAAGGAAGACAACTAGTCAACAACCCCTACCACCAACTATTGGACTACTCTTTACCAACGAGGGATGGGGTTGATCGAAACATGATAATACTTCCATGGCTGAAAGGATGAAGATGTTCAGTGACAGAATTCGAACCCACGCCCCTCTGATTGCGAGACGAGCGCCATAACTAACCAGGCCATGTTAGGTTTTTTAGCGTTATAAGCTGGCAGACTTACCGCTGAGCCACAGGGTGGGAAAATATAATTATTTTAATTTAAAAGAGTAAACATTTTACCTAAAATATCACATTATGTATGGAAATATTTTAATTTTCTTTGTTATTAACAAATCAAATGCAAATCTTTATTAAAGCATTCAATCACGTTTAGTGATAAGTAATTTTAGTTAAGTGATTTCATGAATATCTGAATATCATGCAGAAAAATTAAATAGAACGAGATTAACCATGTTGCTAACTGAAGGGATCGACTATAGGGGATAGTTAACGTTTGTGCGTCAGGTAGGTGAAACAGGGAAGAGTAATCTTCTTCCAATCTTTATAAGATTACATGTAATTATACTTCGATTGTTTTAGACAACAAAATTCAAAATGATTTCATGGCAGTGCCTGAATTCCACATATCGCAGTCATTTTGGTTTAGTCCGTTTATCTCGTGGGTCGAATCAGAAGAACTTTTTAAGACGGCAACGTGGAGTCAACCAGCACGAAGCAAATCGCCAGTATGCGTCTCACAGCCAAAAACCGGTAGAATGGCGTCCACCCAACATGAATGATCTACCAGTTCCAAGAGGTTCGTGGAAGACAGCTTATAATTCTGTCCAGAAACGTTATAATCGCCAGCTAATCGCAAGTATTGCTTTTTTTACAGGAACTACTATCTATGCGTTCTCTTCAGGATTTATTGATCTTAATTTGGCACCTCCCATGAAAAATCCCTCTGGTGAAACTGAAAGCCAGAAGAGTTCATCCTCATCCACTGCAGAATCTGAGTCTGAGAGAAGCGTCAGCAAGCAGTCTGGTGATGCCAAAGCAATGCCTATTTCTGATAGACCTGAAGATATACCTGAAATTCCTTCATCTGTTACATACCTTTTGATAGGAGCTGGTACAGCATCTTTTGCTGCCTTTAGAGCTATTCGTAGCAAGGATCCATATGCAAAAATTTTAGTTGTTGGTGAAGAAGAACACTATCCATACATGCGACCACCCTTGTCAAAGGAATTATGGTTTAGTGATGAGAAAGAAACATCCAAGACTTTGTCATTTAAACAGTGGAATGGAAAAGAAAGAAGTATTTTTTATGAACATGAAGATTTTTACTGTTCACCTCGTGATCTACCCTTGAAAGAAAATGGGGGGGTGTCAGTTGTTAGAGGTTTTAGAGTGGTGAAACTTGATCCAAGTACCAGAAGAGCTTACCTGGATAATGGATGGGAGATCACTTATGAAAAATGTCTTATTGCTACTGGAGGTAACCCAAAAAATTTGCCAGTGTTTGAAAAAGCATCTGAAGAGATTAATAAAAAGGTAACTCTTTTCAGAAACATAAAAAACTTTCAAGAATTGGATAGCGTTTCCAGAAAAGCTAAATCTGTAACAATTATAGGAGGTGGTTTTCTTGGAAGTGAGTTAGCCTGTGCTTTAGGAAAACGAAGCAAAACCACAGGCATAATAGTTAACCAAGTATTTCCTGAGGCTGGAAATATGGGGAAAATCCTTCCAGAATACTTGAGCCAATGGACCACTGACAAAGTAAAATCTGAAGGTGTTAATGTCATTCCGAACACATCAGTGAAAGGTGTGAGCTCAAAAAATAAAAGATTAATCCTCCATTTTAACAATGGCCAAGAGCTCCTTACTGACCATGTCGTTGTTGCAGTGGGCCTTGAACCAAACACTGAGTTGGCTAAAACATCAGGTCTGGAAATAGATGATGTTCATGGAGGCTTTCGAGTTAATGCTGAACTTGAGGCTAGGTCCAACCTCTGGGTTGCAGGTGATGCTTCTTGTTTCTATGATGTTAAATTAGGACGTAGACGTGTGGAACATCATGACCATGCTGTTGTAAGTGGTCGTCTGGCAGGAGAGAACATGACTGGAGCTGGCAAACCATACTGGCATCAGTCGATGTTTTGGTCAGATCTTGGGCCTAATGTTGGCTATGAAGCAATTGGTTTGGTTGATTCCACCATGCCAACTGTGGGAATATTTGCTAAAGCAACTGAAGAGGATACACCAAAAGCAGTTGTTGAGGCAACGGGTGAAGGAGTTCGATCAGAAACTGAATTAATGGCAAAGGAAACAGAGCCTTCCTCTGTTGATATTAAACCTCGACCACCAGTTGTTGGTGATGATTATGGAAAAGGATGTATCTTTTATATGCGTGATAATGTAGTTGTAGGTATCATACTGTGGAATCTTTTTAATAGGATGTCTATTGCAAGAAAAATCATTGGTGAAGGGAAGAGTTACGATGATCTTAGTGAAGTAGCTAAACTGTTCAATCTACATTCTTCAGAATGAGTATGTTAATCAACAGGAAGAATCTTCAGTATTATCAGGTACCAATTTTTTTTTAAACTATAAAAACTGACTTCTTAAAACTGTTTGTAATGTGGTACATAGAGGTTGCTAATACTATTGAAATGTTTGATAAAGAACGATTTCTGAATCATTTTCCTAAAGGAAGATACATTTGTAGCAGGTTGATACATAGAAATTATTAGAAACTGGACAATTCAAATTATAAATAAAAGCTTTTTATATTTTACATAGTGATATTTAGTGTTCATATTATATTTTGGTGCTATAAATGCATTTTCTTGTAATAAATTAATTAAATAAAATATTTAATACATTATAGTAATTAAAATGTAGTCTAACGATTAGACAGATTTTATGTTTATCACGAAAATAGTCATGTCAGTCTAATGATTGCTTTCAATATCAACCTTTTTTATCCTAATACCCATTACTTTCGAAGTGACAGACTCTGTCATAGTATACATTGGTTATGGGATCAAATTATAAATAATTCATTCAGTATTTCAACATTAAGCTTGTTACTTCTTAATAATGTAAAGAATATTTTAAAAATCTTTCTGTACAATTTTTGAATCCACACTGTGGAAATTGTACTAAAATTTAAATATTAGTGCCCATTTGCATGTCTACATACCACTACCATAACTATCTTGACAATGGTAGTTATAATTTTAAAAAAATTAATGTTTGGGTAAGCATGATTTCATTCAAAGAAATTACCTTTTTATCAGGGTAAGAAATATTATATTTTTTTACAGTCACCACTTGTCTTTTTTAGTGCAAATGAGAAACCTGATCCTCGTATTGTAACCAGTGTTGTGCTCCAGTGTGTGTTCCATAACCAAAAAAGCCCACTTCAAAAATTCATTTTAGTAAGAAAACTGACCCATCACACTCATACCCTTGTTTCTGTGTGTAGGAAGTGAATGACTGAACCAATGGTAGTGTAGGAAACCTAGCATATACCAAATGCTCAAATTATGTTTGACTCCTGTATCAAGAGGCCATCATGACAGATAAAAATGGAGTATAATTAAAAAAAAATTATTGTTGTTTCTATGTATGTTTCTGAATTGGCAGTCTTTGAGAGCTAGGTGACTATGGTGTTTTTTAAAGTTAATTATGCTTGCTTAGGTTTTAAAATTTTGTAATCTTTGGGTTCTTTTGCAAAATTAATAAAAATGACATACTTCAAAATTTAATTTCCAAATAGATAAAAATTATATGGTTACAGTTTTTACATATTACAAAGGTAGTAGAAATGACATGAGAAATATACTCATGAAATTTTCCATACAATGATTTCTTCATAATTGTCATTTCATTCCAAAAAATAGAAAGACTAGTACTGATTAAGCCATTATTCTTTTTGCTAGTTATAGTTGAGATCTTTAATAATTGACTGATTTTATTTATTATAGATGATTTAAACACTGTGTTCGTGTTGAAATGGACAGCAACTGCATTGTTCAGAGTGACACTTGTAGAGAAGGCTTTGGAGGACTATTCTACAAAAGTAGCATAGGTAGAAAGAATGATGTTTTGAAAGACCATTGATTAAATCATCACTCATTCCACCAACGATGTTACAAAAACTACCAGCCAATCATGTCACATCTACTTTAATCTTCTTAAATACTATATAAATCCCTGAAAAAACTGGTGCAGCTGATTCAAACGGGATTTGGACTTTATGGTCCCCACCCACCCCTGAAAAGGGCCTCAAATTCAATTCAATGTAATTTCAATCAATATCATTTCTTAAAATCCATCTCAATAAAGTGTATTCAAAATACAAATTCCTAAACCTGCAAGAACTAAACAAATACACCGTGTGTATGTCTGTATCTCTCTGTCTCGCCTCGTCGGCTTCATCATCTCCACCCCCAACTGGACAAGAAGAACTTCATCTTATCTCCACCGACATTCTTCACAGCTTTTCTCTCAAAAATTCTTTTAAAATTTCCCACTAATGTCTACAGTCATGGTTATAGTCACTGCAGCAAATTATTCTCACGCGCAGGGTTGACGGGCAACAACTATTCCCAAGCATCCCAGTTGGAAAGAGCAGGCAAATGTAAGGTTGTTTTCTCATCCTTCAAACTAAATTCCTACTATGTTTAGTTTTTGGTGCAGCTGACCCGAGGACGAAAGACAGAAGTATTTTGAAATGTTATCAACCTTTCTATCTGAGGTATTTTTGTAGATTTGTCCTTCAAGACTTTCTCTACAAGTTTGCTCTGAACAAGGAATTTGCTGATCATTCATCTTTGTTCAACTGGTGTTAATTAAACATTTATGTAAACACACTAAATATTATTTTTTGAATGTTTTAAACATAATTTATCATTACTGTAGGAACTGAAAGACAATCCTGTCCACCGACATATGCAAGCTACTTCTGTGGATCATCACACCAAAATCAGCCCTATGGATCAGAGATTGTAGCTGTAGCTTGTGATCATGTGTAAAATTTGATGAATGATTAGTTAAAACATTATATACTAATCAACTGCTGATAAGCTGTATAAACATTGTTACATGACATTTGTAGCATGGTGTGATTAGTAGTAAAATGTACTTCTGCCATTGTAATTACTAAATGTTTGTTTCTGTTTAAAACATTTAACAAATGACTTAATAATCAAAAGAAAGAAAAGTACAAAAGCCACTAATAATTTCTTGAAATCTTATTTCAAAATGTACTGATAATGCAAGGTATATTGTAAAACACAGTGATACTGTTAAATTACTTTATGTAGTAAATACTCTTCCATTATTCAAAAAACACTGGTAATAGGAAACCTGGTATGAAATTTATCTTTATTATCATATAGTGAGTTTTTCTAGTTATAAATTGTTAACACTAGTAGAGAATCTTGCATGGTGATATGACAGTTTTTTTTTGTGAGGTGTTATCATAACATGGCTGTAAAACATTTTTAGAATTTTGTAGAAATTCATTAAGTATGTGAAAGTTAAATTTTAGAACATTTAAAAAAACTATTTTTTTCTTCTCTTAATTCCATTGACTTTATTAACCCAGATCGTACTTAAACGTTAGTTTAAAAGATTTCAAACTAAGAAGTATTCTAGTGCTATAATGAAATTGGTAGCAAATTATAGTGTGTAACTTGGGAATAAGTGTATTAATATTAAATATTTTGCCTTTTTAGGGTATAGGGCATACAATGAAATGATACATGCAGTTGAAAGTAAAGTAATTATCACATTAGAAAAATATTAATGTAAATTTGAATTTTTTTTACTAAATAACAGGACAGAATTGCATGATGACACAAAAAAGGGGGCAAGATTGTCCTATGATCATAACCAAACTCTTAAAATATTTTGCCACATGCTTCAGTAAACTTGTGTTTTTATCTATTAAGACATTCGATTTGGTAAAAAAATTATCACTACATGTACAATTAAAATTTAAAAATATGTATTTATACATATAAATTAAAGCCTATATCGGTCATTTTTGCCAGTATAGTACATTTGGGATTTCATTTATTGACATGTCACTGTGCTGATCTAATTCTCAGCAAACGAAAAGCATCAAAAGAATGACAATAAATCATTTTTTTGATTAAGTGTTTAATAATATGTAAATTGTATGTCATTATAATATTAAATATAAATTTGATCATTTTAATACCTTCATGAATAAATGAAGTGACTTTTTTGTCTTGTACAGAATTATACTTTTAATTAAAATTAACAAATATTATACTTGCTTTTTGTTAAAGAGCAAAAGAGTGCTTTACCTTTCAAATAGAGGTAAATACACTATACTATTTAATGTAAAATAATGTTTAGATCCACTATTATGGAACAACAACAAACTTAAGGATACGAGTTTCAACACTTTTACCTATTTTACCTATACTCTTTATTAGTGAATAACATAAAAGAGAATTATATATTTTTTGTATTTTTCCTGTTGACTTTATTTTCATTGATTTACTAAGTTTCAAAATGCCTAAATAATTATAAAGTCGTAATATATTAATGAAAGAAAAATACTGTAATTCTTAAATACATGATACTTAGAAATATTTCACCTTTCCTATAGAGAATGTTAAATTACGTGTTTGATAGCAAGTAAAAGAATAATACAAATAATATATTTTGGGAACCATGAATATAGTTGCTTTAGATAGTCCATTCTAATCAGTTCCATCAGGATTGTGACTCGTAAACAATGACTTGTTTTCTGTTTTACGTACGAAGTGTGGATGTACTACCGAAGAGGAAGATTTGACTTATGGTGGATGTTGTGAAGTTAAAATGCCAATGTTGGTGAAATAATAAAAACTAAGAGAAATTTTTTTTCTAATTAGAAAAGTTAAGAGTAGTGTGGCAAAATAAAGGGAAATCAATTTTGATAAAATGTGATTTTAATCATAAATTTTAGGCTAGATAGGTTTCTGTTTTGTCAGCATCAACATTTTGCACTGAAAAATTGAATGGTAGTGAGCGTGTGAAAATACATCACAATAAGATTGATGATAACTTAAAACAAACATTCTTTACTGGTTCAAAAAGCTTAATATTGTTGTTGTAAAGAAGAGAATATATAATTACACTTAATTCATACCTTATATGTTGTATTAAAATGTACTATTATTAGTAAACTGTAGTGGGATTTAGGCCAGTAAAATATGATATGATTTACATTATTATCAATTTTCTTGTGATGTGGTATCACACATGTTATTGCTTATTGAAGATAGTTTTCAGTGCTCTTCAACAATTATTATTCCAAATAAATTTTTAACTGCTGTGAAACAATCCAACTGATGACTGAACTGTTAAAAAAAAAAGGCCTCTTCTGATTTTCGGCAGAAAAATCTGAAATTTTATCTTGACACACCTGTGACTTTATTTCTCCAATTAACTGATTCAGTAAACATGATTTTAATTACAATTTAGAATCCTTATGGATATTGAAATTCCAGTTTATTTCCACATCTTGAACCCTAAATTTATATACATTTAGAGACTAGCTTGCAAGGTTAAATGTAAGTTACCCCTTATTCAAAAAGCAATAGGTGACTTATTTAGTTCCTGGTTAAACTTTGAGTAACTCATATATATGCCTAGTGAGTGTTATAAACAATGCGATTGTGGTAAAATATTACTGTTTTTAAGGGTGTAATGGGCAATACAGGTTGAAATGTATTATCAATTAAATGCACCATAATTACCTAAAGCATCTAAAAACTGTTTGTATTATCATATTAGAGTTACATTTATAACTGCATAATATTTTTAAATATGCTTTGGAAATCATTTTTTAGTCTACTCACTATGGCCCAGTGGTAAGTCTAAGGACTTACAACTAAAAATTCAGTTCGGTTTTGATACCCCTAGTGGGAAGTACAAAGATATCCCATTGTGTAGCTTTGTTCTTTGAATAGACAAACTACTCGTGACTTAATGGCTAATCATGCAATGTGTGGTAAATACATTTATGGAATTCCAACATAAATTACTTGTATAGAAAAAAACTATTTTCATGATAACATTACAACAACATTGTTTTTTGTTCATGAACACTATTTGGTTGAAGTACATTGGTAATACATGTTGATAACATTGAATACCAAATATTTGGATAATTTTCTTAAATTATGTTTGTTTTGTGACTAATAAAAAACTAAATTTAAAAACTGTAGTTTGTTGGGTGAAATTGAAGGAAAGGATAAAGATTTGAATCAAAAAGTGAACTAAGAAGTTGACATATAAATAAACTAAGTTTTAAAAAACATCCTGACAATAAATAAATAAGTTTCTAACAAAAAATGTAAGTTCCTGAATTGTATGACAATTTAAAAAGAAGCACAATAATATAATATTTTCTCCCATATCTAACTCGACTTCTGTATATTCAGCTCTCCCATTTCTTGTATGTCACGTAACGTAACACAATCGTGCAAAAGTTGTCTCTTTATTAACAAAGACGTTCTATAAGTAACTAAAGCATCATGCATTAAAAGTTTTAGGAATGATAATAGCAAAATCCAGTATTTCTATAATAAAAACGGCCAGGTGGTTAGGGCGCTCGACTCGCAATCTGAGGGTCGCTGGTTCGAATTGCAGTCCCATCAAACATGCTCGCCCTTTCAGCCGTGGGGACGTTATGATATGACAATCAATCCCACTATTCGTTGCTAAAAGAGTTGGCGGTGGGTGGTGATGACTAGCTGCCCTCTAGTCTTTCACTGCTAAATTAGGGACGGCTGGCGCAGATATCCCTCATGTAGCTTTGTACGAAATTCACAACAAATCAAATATAAACTGTTATACGCCACATCTATCAAGAACTTGTAACCAAGAAGGCGAAAACATTGAACTATCCTAAGATTTTCAAAAGTCAATATCTTTCTTCCCTACCAACTTAATAATAATAAATTACGTTAAAAGGCTTTATATTATTTGTGAACAACAACTCCTAACGGTTGCTGCTTATGTACGTGTCAGTTTTGGGCTATTAACACTTTTACTATTTCTTTCGTGATATCACAGAATTCTAGTTGTATGTATTATTCTAACTAAATACACCGATAAGTGTTCGAGGTGGCTCACACCTTTTAAAATTATAGCATAATTTTATTAAGAACATTACTTTTAATAAACTTGAACGATGAAGATACACACGAATATCATTGTAAATAAAAGGACGATTTAGTCCCCGGAATCAACATATCAAGTTGCAATCATCGGTCGAATTTATAAAAGTAAAAAAAAAATAATAAAAAACTCCGACAAATTCAGTTGTGTTAGTTGATTTTCTTTTTATAACTGAGTCAGTCAAAATTTCTGTTTAAAAAATGCAACATCTCTAGTTTTAGGAATGATAATAGCAAAATCCAGTATTTCTAAAACAAATACGGCTATCAAATTTAAATGGCCAGGAGGTTAGGGCGCTCGACTCGCAATTTCATGGTCGCTGGTTCGAATCCCAGTCCCATCAAACATGCTCGCTCTTTCAGCTGTGGGGGGCATTATGATGTGACTGTCAATCCCACTATTTGTTGGTAAAAGAGTATCCCAAGAGTTAGCGGTGGGAGGTGATGACTAGATGCCCTCCCTCTAGCCCTTGTGTAGTTTTGCGCGAAATTCAAAACAGATAAACTAACAAACCTAAGGTAAGAAACCCAAGACTGAATACAATAATCCAAATGTGGCCTAACCAGTGACCTGTACAATGAAAATTTAACCTTTTTAGACTTGTATTCAATATTTCCGTAGATACAACCTAAAATCATATTTGCCCTACCACTAACAACAGCACACTGATTGGATGGCTTTAGAGACTGATCGACTAGTACACCAAGATCCCTTTCCTTCATAACACTGTTAAGGTTATTCCTATCCAAACTATACTTATAATTCAAATTATGATAACCCATGTGCATTATCTTGCATTTATTATGCTTAAAATTCACCCGCCATTTATTTGCCCAACTCATTAAATGATCTAAATTATTTTGTAAATTAGCTGATCCTCTTCACAGCTAGCAACTCCCAATGCCTTAATATAATCTGCAAATTTAAGTCATTTATTGGCTATTCCTTCATCAATGTAATTAATGTAAATCAAAACGAGCAAAGGTCCTAAGACTGAGCCTTGAAGTACCCCATTTGTGACTAATCCAGTTTGACTGAACTTTATTTGCAATAACCCTCTGCTTTCATCCATCTAATCACTTTTCTTTCCAGTTTGCTAACTTATCCCCACACCTATAGAGATATCTTTTACAAGCCTTTTATGTTGCACCTTGTCAAATGCTTTCTGAAAATCCAGATACACCAAATCTACACTCTTACTCTCTTCTACAAAGTAGTAACCTTTTCAAAGAACTTCAAAAGATTTGTAAGGTAAGATTTTCCCTTAGTGAAACCATGCTGACTATGCAATAAAATTCTGAACTATGTTAAATGACTTTACAAAGCATCTTTTAACAGACTTTCCAAGACTTTTTCCACAACTGATGTAAGACTAATGGGTCTATAATTATTGGGACAATTTTTACCACCTCCCTTGAAAAAAAAGAGCTACGTTATCTAACTTACAATCTTCTGGTACCTGTCCGCTATTCAAGGACTGACAAAAAATAGTAGTAAATGGCTCACATATTCAATCTTAACCTCCTTCAAAACATTTGGAGAATTATTATCTGGCCCAGGAGCCTTATCGTTTCTTAAACCTCCCAATATTTTCTTCATCAGCTCAGAATCAATGCAATCATCATGTGTGATTTCCTTAAACCAACTATCTTGTGGCATATCCTGCTCAACAAGCACATGGTAATAAATAAGTTGGAAAAATTCGACTCGGTTGGAGTTTTAAAAATTCAACTAGTTGAATGAGTGAATTGAAATTGAGTGCAGTCGGTCGGAAATAGATTTGTGACTGATTCCTGGGTTTGGACGATTTACAGTGCCTTGCAAAAGTCTTCACCCCTTCTACTTGTAACAAATTTTAGGTATTTTCTTGTGAAAGACATAAGTCAAATGACCAAAAATATTTATTATATTAATCTTAGACCACTTTCTAAAGATTACAAACAACAAAAGGTGCATTGTTACCCAATTTAGTGATATAACAAAAAAAAAAAAAATCTTGAAAACACATGTTGCAAAAGTATTCACTCCCGCAGCTTTTACCTTCGTTAATTTAACTTTACGTCATTACCCTGCTAAAGCAAATACAAGTGGCTCTGTACAACTCTGTCAGATATCAAAGTATATTATTGAGCAATGTGAAAAAATACTTTAGGTCATATTGAGCCATCACTATTGATTTAAGCAGAGTATTTTGAACATTAAAATTTTGTTTACTGTTACATATTGAGAATGATGAGGAAAGAACTCTTTACAGATCTAAGGGAGAAGATTATTCAGAAATACAAATCTAGAGAAGGCTATAAATTAATTTCAAAGGTTTTCAATTTGCCAATAAGTACTGTAAAATCGGTTGTGATAAAATGGAAGGTGTGTCACACTACCTCAACCTTGCCAAGATCAGGTCGCCCTAAAAAGTCTGCGCTCGAACAAGCAGAAACAATCGTCCGAAAAGCGACTGTCAAACCAACATTGATACTGAAGGAGCTGTATACTTTAATAGCAGTAACTAGAGTTACTGTACACACCTCGACAATGTCACGGTAGGGTGGCAAGAAAGAAACCACTACTGACGAAGATGCATCTTAGATCGTGAATGGTCTGTGCTCGTAAACATTTCAATAGCCTTACAACAATGTGGCAGAAAATTAACTTTTTGAGTTAAATGACAAACAGTATGTATGGCGGAAACTCAACACTGCTCATGACCCGGCAAATACAGTCCTAACTGTCAAGCATAGTGGTGGTTCCATAATGCTGTGGGGGTGTTTTACCGCAACTGGCATTGGAGAATTTGTACGCATTCAATGGATCATGGACAGTGCAAAATATATACAAATGTTGGAGGTAAACCTGAAGAAGTAAGCAAAAAAACTAAAACTTGGTAGTAGGTTTACATTTCAACAGGACAAAGTCCAGACCTAAATCCACTTGAAAATCTGTGGAGAGACTTGAAAACTGCTGTGCATCGAAGACATCCTTCCAACTTACAAGAACTGGAGGAGTGGGCAAAAATATCTTCAGCATACTGTGCAAAGCTCGTGGAGGGTTTTCCAAAACGACTTTCAGCTGTCATTGATGCCAAAGGGGCTTCAACTAAATATTAACTGCATAATCATGTTAGGGGTGAAGACTTTTGCAGCATGTGTTATCAAGATTTTTTTGTGTTATATCACTAAAGTGAGTAACAATTCACCTTTTGTTCTTCGTAATCATTAGAATCTGGTCTGAGATTGATATAATAAATATTTTTGGTCATTTGATTTATGTCTTTCACAAGAAAATAACTAAAATTGATTACCAGCAGGGAGGGGGGGGGTGAAGACTTTTTCAAGACACTGTACAACTAGATGTTTTTAGAACACCTTCGCGCAAAGCTACACGAGGGTTATCTGCCCTAGCCGTCCCTAATTTAGCAGTGTAAGACTAGAGGGAAGGTAGCTAGTCATCACCATCCACCGCCAACTCTTGATTCTTTATCGTATCTTTGATTCCATGCCTAAGAAGACTTAAGAACTGTTCAAAAGTCATGGAATGCTCTGCAATTGCTAAGTATTACTGCTACGACTTCTGGTAGCCTTTTACGATATTATATTGTACCTTCTTTGGTGTTTAATAAAATATATAACTTATGTTCGTAGAACTTCTTTTAATTATGTCTCATTCCTAAAATTCTACGGAGATGCAAAACTTTTGGTCATAGCTTTAGGGAGATGACAGATTACAGCTCTAATAGTTTGTTTGTTTGTTTTTGAATTTCGCGCAAAGCTACACGAGGGCTATCTGCGCTAGCCGTCCCTAATTTAGCAGTGTAAGACCAACTCTTGGGCTACTCTTTTACCAACGAATAGTGCAGTTGACCGTCACATTATAACGCCCCCACGGCTGAAAGGGCGAGCATGTTTGGTATGACGGGCGAATGTCCGATTGCAAGTCGAGTGCCCTAACCACCTGGCCATGCCGGGCATACTACCGAGAGACAAACGAAAATAAAAGAAAAATAACAAATGTAAGTAGATTAATTGAGCAAAAATGTAAACACAGACAAGTGTTGTACAAGATACGACAATGTGCACTGATAACACACAATGTTACTAATTCATATCGCAGGATAAACACGCAAGAAAAGAAAAGATCAACATGTGATTCTACATTGTATATAAGAATTTGTTTAATTCACCTAGTTTTGTGGTTAATACAATCAATACTTGATACCAAAAACGAACCGAAACTACATTTTATATTTAGAGCCCTTTGAAACTGATTCTAGATACTAATTTGGAAACAATAACTGACATTTTCCCCCTTTTGGCTAGTGGTGCGTCTGAGGGCTTGTAGGGCTAAAAATCGAGTTTTGATACCAGTGATGGGCAGAACATAGATAGACCATTGTGTATCTTTGGACTTAACAACAAACAAAAATCCCTTTTAACCAAAAATGTACTGAAACGAATGTTACCGAGGTCCACCTGTAATCACTGACGTATATTTCATGCATTTACTGTTTTGATAATAGTAAATATAATTGTTTTTGAAAAAATATATCAAAAACCACCTCCTCACTATTCTTTGTGGTGGATTTTCAAGTTGAGCAGTTTATGCTATTTTTGACAGCGAAATGTAAATAAACAATTTTTTGAAACTATTGAACATATTTTAATCTTTGTTGACAGTTTTGAAGAAATAATTATCAATTTGGGATTGTTTACTTATGATAATATAACATTACGCTAGTTATTATTAAATGATTATTCGTTATAACACTATCAATTAAATATTAAGTTATTAGTTCAGTCAAATTATTAATTTACAAGATTGTTCAGTAATTATTGTGGCTGTGATATTTCGTAATATACTACGTCACCCTTTTATTCAGACGACTAGTGGAAAATGATTACAAAAATAGAGTATAAAAAAAAATTCAAGGAAATAAGACGTCACCGGAATGACTTAAAAATATTTTGCAATTAGGTGGCGTTGAAATACTGTTACACTGCAGAGTCATCTATATAAATTATTTGTTATGTTTGCTTGCCTTGAAGTGTACGAAATATCATTTAGAATATGCGTGATTGAAATTAATCAAAGATAAATGGCAAAGATATTTAAATACTGGACATTACGGCCACTTATTTTTGAGTGCAGTTTCACCTCTATAATTTTCTTAGGACTATGCATTCAAATTCAAGGTAAGATTTATCATTCATAATTTATAGTTGATGCAATTAACAAATCGAAAGGTTTTTTTACCAACTTAGGCCTATAATTTATAAGTAGCATATATTTCTTTTAACTTTAATACAATAAAAGTTTAAGGCCTTAGTGTATAAGCTATACAACTTATAAGACTAGCTTCTAAGTTCTAGTTCTACGTAAAGGACCATTTGATCTTTCAAGACTGTTCTTGCACATCCAAACTTGAGAAAAGTAAACATAAATTAAACCTACATTTTATTTTTAAAGAAATAAAACTGTCTTAAAATTAAATGTAGCCTAGCATGTCTTTTCAAGTCTTAAATATGTGTCATCTTTGTCCTATTATCTTCAAAATACAGCACAAATCTAGTTTTTTATCATGTTGAATTCCTGCATAATCTTGTTGTAAACTTCACTTCAGTAACATCATCCCATATTGTAACTTTCTGAAGGTAAAATAACTTGAGAGAGATCTTAATCTAACCCAATAATATGAGGAGGTTGCCAACCAATTCACTGCGCATGCCCAGAACTACGTCACGAAGTGCTTCGGCGAATGCTTTCTTTTGGTGTTGGAACAGTAAGCAAGCTTGCTTATATATCTCTGTTTAGCATCAGTCGGCAAAGAGTTTACATAAGGCGAATAATTACTACCTAATGTCGGTAAATGTGATGTACGATCAGCCATATTTTTATGAATGGTTCCTAATTTCAAACAATTAATATTTTATGGATATATATATAGTTCCTGTACAAGAAAAGATTATAAACATTTTTTTTGTAAATACTTTTCAAGGGATAATTATAGAAAAGCACTAAATTTGGTGAAGCAACACTAGCATTTGACAATTTCAAAGGAAAAGGTGTTTTAGCACTAATTTTTCACAAACAACTTACTTTCAAGTAATGCAGGTACATAGCTTTAATTTTAATGAAGGGAATGTGTACATATTATGTTTTCAAAAAATTGTACATGTTTGATACTTTATTTGTTTTATAACCTTTGTATATTGAATAAATAAATCTATCTGACAGTATTTATGACACTAATTTGGGTTGTAAATTACAAATAGCTGAACATATAGTTACAATACTGTCTGCATGAGGAACCATACACATACTCATTACCGAACTTAATATGTTAAAGTTTTTAACGAGCTATAGGGAGACTGGACCGAGGTTTTTTAATTGCAGAGGACTTAGCCAACCATGGTGCGACACTTGTAATCCCTGCTTTTACAAAGGGCAAAAACCAGCTCAGTGCCAAAGAAGTCGAACAGACCAGGAAAATTGCACATGTGCGTATTCATGTTGGGCGAGCTATAGGGAGACTGAAAAACTTTAACATATTAAGTTCGGTAATGAGTAT